AAGGAAAGAAAGAAAGAAAGAAAGAAAGAAAGAAAGAAAGAAAGAAAGAAAGAAAGAAAGAAAGAAAGAAAGAGAAAGAAAGAAAGAAAGAAAGAAAGAAAGAAAGAAAGAAAGAAAGAAAGAAAGAAAGAAAGAAAGAAAGGGGGAGGGAGGGAGGAAGGAAGGAAAGAAAGAAAACAAAGAGGGAGGGAGGGAGGAAAGAAGAAGGGAGAGAGGGAGGAAGGAAGACAGACAGACACGAATATTTCAGTTTAGGGCCTTTGTGGAAAGCAGGGGGAAGATATTTAAAGTCCTGGGACATTTTTATTTCCACCCTGTCTTGCTCATTTTTGCACCATGCAACACTTACAATTTTTGCCTGTAAAACCAAGGGAAAAGTGGAACACTTGAACAGCCCAAATATACCCACGCTTTACAGAAAGGAACTAAATTAGCCTGCTGATCTGAAAATCCTTCCCAGTTTCCACACATGTAAGAAAAGAAGAAAGAAGGAACGAAATAATCTCCTCATTGCAGCAGGCAAAAAGTAAATGTTTCCCTGCCCGATCATGTCTGACACTTTGGGGCACGATGCTCCTCTCTATTTCTTGGCCGAGGGAACCGGCGTTGTCCAAAGATGCTTCCATGGTCATGTGGCCAGCATGACTATGTACCAAAGACACACAGAATGCTGTTCCCTTCCCACCCAAGGGGTACCTGTTTATCTACTCCCATTTGCATGCTTTCAAACTGGTAAGTGGGCAAGAGCTAGAGCAAGCAACGGGAGCTCACCCTGTTGCGGGTCTCGAGCCTGGTGTCAGGGTTCTGACAATCCACACACCCCCCCATTCGAATCATGAGTCTCTAGCCGCATCTCCCAGAGTTTAAAAAAAAAATCATTTATTAGGAGTCAACATGTCGGCGTTACCTGGGTGCAGCTGACACTGAGACACAACATTTATCTCACCCTTGACCCTGATCTTCCTCCACCCCCCTGGATGTATATTCTCCAATGGGACACATTCATAGCCAAGAATCATCCATCATGCTCTCCGGTAATAATCTTGCGTGCCAGAAGCTTCACCCTGCCTAGCAATTATCTATGAATCCAAATTAAAATATTTAAGGTATGCATTGCTCCCCCCCACTCCCTTTCTGCTCACAACTCTAAAAGACCAGAGCTAGGGTGGGTAGAGAAATATTTTTGAGTTGACACCTGGGCCATCAGGTGTCCACATGACAAGCTCAACGACTTTAACCACTGAGCCATCATGCCCCTCCCCCTTGCATCAGGGCCACGTGCTAAAACCTTCCACCAGGTTCCCAAGAGCACGGACCAAACCAAACCAGGAATCTGTTAAATTCATGTCAAATCCACTATAAACACTTTGGTTTTAAAGGCACTGGCAGTGAAGCCAAACTTTCCTTAACGCTGTGAACAAGAACAAACACGGCGTTGTCTCTTTCTATGCTGTCCTTAAACCAGCAATTTTTAAAAGTCGTGCCCATCCCTGGGGGGGGGGGGGGGGACGTCAACTATAAATTCACAGGGAAGGAACCGAAGGAGGCGGCTGTAAATCTTTTTCTTTTAAAGGCAGCTAGACGGCTTCTCTCTTTGCAGCCAGCCAGCCGCCCACACGACAGCGTTAATCGTTATGGACTGAGGAATAGCAGGAGACACTGTAATCCAATCACGAAATCTGGCACCTTCACGGTGTTTCTTTTCAGCGGAAGAATTTCAGGCTCAGTTGGCAGCACCTGTCAAAAAGAGCAGTAAAGCTGCTGCCTGGGATACAGGGGCCAGCCACGTGTGCTGTTTTGAGCTTGAGCAGGCTCCACGGGATGGTCTGGGACGCTACCCATCCTCTTTACGACCTGGGCGGTGGCTTTGTGGTACCCGAAGCAGAACACCCAGATTCAGTCACAGTTTTGTCCATATAGCATTGACCTTGGGGACTCTCAAGTTTCCTCTTTCTGCTATGTATTCTGTTCCTATGTAGAGGAACAGTGATTAATATGGTGTGTGTGTGTGTGTGTGTGTGTGTGTTGTGGCCTGTTGACCGTTGGTTGTTGACTCCTCCAGCAGCCAAATCAGAGGAGGAGGAGGCATGGGGGTCAGCATCAGGACAACCTGGGAGCTCCAAGGGGGAAGAGGGAATGGAGCTAGCAGAGAGAGAGAGAGAGAGAGAGAGAGAGACAGAGACAGAGAGACAGAGAGACAGAGAGACAGAGAGAGAGACAGAGAGAGAGAGAGACAGAGACAGAGAGAGAGACAGAGAGGCAGAGAGACAGAGACAGAGAGAGGTAGACAGAGAGAGAGACAGAGAGACAGAGACAGAGAGAGACAGACAGAGAGACAGAGAGAGAGAGACAGAGAGACAGAAGCAGAGAGAGGTAGACAGAGAGAATGAGAGAGAGAGACAGAGACAGAGAGACAGAAACACAGAGAGATAGACAGAGACAGAGAGAGACAGAGAGACAGAGACAGAGAGACAGAAACAGAGAGAGATAGACAGAGAGACAGAGACAGAGAGAGAGACAGAGACAGAGACACAGAGAGAGAGACAGAGAGAGAGAGAGAGAGAGACAGGGAGAGACAGAGACAGAGAGAGACAGAGACAGAGAGACAGAGACAGACAGAGAGAGAGAGAGAAAGAGAAAGAGAAAGAGAGAGACAGAGGTGGAGCCTGGGCCGTCTTATCAGCCCTCAGATGGAGAGTCAACAGCCCCCAGGTCTGGAGGTGGCTGATGAGGAAGAGGAGGAACAGGTGGGCCCAGTGCCTGATGTGCGTATGCTTAGAAGGCAGAGGAGAGGAGAGCAGGGGAAATCTATGGGCCGGTGCTTGGGAAGGAAGAGTCACCACTGCTAGCGAAGACCCACCCTAGCTCTGGGGATGAAAGGCAGGGGGCGGAGATGAATAGATGTGGCAGACAACTATTCATCTCCCGGCTGGACTTTGTTAGCTTGTGTTGAGAGAGAAAATTTTTGCCGGGGCTGCCGGCATTCCTAATAAAGGGAAGTTTTGAGTTCACGTCAGAAGGTTTGTTGTGTTTGGGGAGCTGGGTCAGAACATTGTGTGCATGTATATATGCATGTATATATGTATGTGTATGTATGCATGTATATAGCATGAAAGAGTGCACAGAAGAGCAACAAAGATGATAAGAAGTTTGGAGATGAAACTGTAGGATGAATGGTCAAGGGAACTATCAAAGGGAAGGCTTAGGGGTGTCTTCTTGTAGTCAAGGGGCTGTCACAGAGAAGGGGGAGATTTATTCTCCAAAGCACCTGAGGGCAGGACAAGAAGAAACAGGTAGAAAGAGATATAACCTAGAATGAAGGAGGAATTTCCTGACAGTGAGAACAATTAATAAATGGAACAGCTTGGATAGTATAAGAACATAGTATAGACAGGATAGTATAAGAACTCCTGTCTTAAGTAGAAGGGTTGAATTAAAAGACCTCCAAGGTCCTTTCCTATCCTCTTTGATTCTATCATTCAAATGCTAGTGAGACTAGCCAAGCACCTTCACGCCATACTTCTCTGCTTGGTAGAACTATTAAGACTTCCATTAGTTTTTACGACGGCCTTCTTCATTTTATATTGCTTCTTTATTATATACAGCATGCTTGTAAAGTTGTAAGTTACTCTAGGGCAACCCCCGTCAATTCAGTTAAAGATTAACTGATTGAATGATTAAATCCCTTCTCTTTCTCTTTTTTAAAAAATCCTTAATGAGTTAAATAGTATAATCACGGAATGCTGGAGCTAGAAGAGGCCATAAAGTCAAGGCCGAGAATCCAAATTAAAATGTTCCCAGCGGGTGGCAGTCACTTGAATACACGCAGCATAGGGGAGACCATCTCTGTGGAACTGGTTTCAATGATATATTTTAGAATATCAGAAGGATATTAGACAGGGCTTCAGAGGGGTCCTGTCATGCCCTTGGTAGAGTTGGACTCTGAGGGAAAGGAGGAACAGCCGACAGGGAGTGGAGGTGTGGCTCCGGAGGTTGTGGAGGAGGCTAGGGAAGGGCAG